ATTCAAACAGGGGACATTTACACTAATCAGTGCCTTTATTATCAGTGCCACCTATCACTGCCCATCAGTGCAGTTTCATCAGTGCCCTTCAGTGCAACCTCATCAGTGCAACCTCAGGAGCGCACATCAATGAAGGAGAAAAATTACTTATTTGCGTAATTTTATAGCAGAAAGTAAGAAAAACTTTTTTTTCCTACATTTTTGGTCTTTTTTAGTTTGCTTAGCAAAAAAAAAAAAAATAAAAACCCAGTGGTGATTAACACCAAAAGAAAGATCTGTCTGTTGAATAAAAATTATAAAAATCTAATTTTGGTATTGTGTTGCATGACCGCACAATTGCCATTCAAAGGGCGACAGCACTGAAAGCTGAAAAACTGGCCTGAGCAGGAAGGGGGTGAAAGTGCCCAATATTGAAGTGGTTAAAGGAAGGATCAAGAAGTATGACATATTGAATGCTAGGTTAACAGTAACAATATACACTATAAGAGCAACAAAGGAGAAGAAAAAGATAAATCGCATGTAACTGTAAACTGGGAGACACTCTAGGATTGGATGTGAGAGTTGGGCCCACAGGGGGGTTTTTTTTTTTTGCTTTGTTGTACTCCAAGACATGGCATCTAAATGCATCTTAATCATACACTACAAAACAGAGGCAAATAATTCATAGACCCTGGGATGTCTCCAAGCAATGAATGAGAGGGGTTACATCAACCAGGCAAACAGAACTGTGCCAACAGGCCCAATAACAACAAGAGTCAAATGACCCAATTACAGAGTGCTGCTGCAAAAACCTTGTGGATGAACGCTGTATCCACCTATCAGAACTTTGAAAAAGCATGAACAGAGGACCAGGTGGTTGCCTTTCACAGCTGAGCTAGAGTCCTGGTGTTGGAAAGCCCAGGAAACTCCCACCAATCTAATGGAGTGGACATATAACAGTATAGGAAGAGACTTATTTTTGACAGTGTAAGCTCTAGAGATATGATTTCTTATCCATCAAACAATGGTGGATTTTGAAGCAGAGAACCCGTTGAGAGGTTGTAAGGACAGGAAATAGGAAATTTGTCTTCCTGACCGAAGCTGTTGCTGTGAGGTACACTCTAATGGCTCTTACTATGACTGGGCATTGAAGAGAGATTTTCTTTTAAAGCATTGGAGCAGGGCATAAGGATGGTAGGACTATGTCCTCATTGAAGAGAAAGACCAATACCAACTTAGGAAGTAAAGATGGTCTTGGGTGTTTGATTACCTTGTAGATGTGAGGGGTGGGGAACAGTTCCTTACAACAGGGAGCCACCAGTTCTGAAAGACATGATAGTAACTGGAAAGGCCACTTTGCAGGTGAAATCATCTAGAGGATATATTCATGAGCAGTTCAAAGGGTGGTTTCTGCAAGGCATAGGGAACCAAGCTGAGATCCCAAGGAAGTACAGGGAGCTGAAAGGATGCTTGACGCAAGATAAACCTTGATTATAGGTTTTTATTTAAAAGGGAGTATGAAGCCAGGGGTCTTTGAAAAAGAATGGACAAGGCCAAAACCTGACCTCTGAAAGTGCTTAAGGTCAAAGTATGGTCAAGACCTGATTGCAGGAAAGTGAGAATGTGAGGCATACAGTAAACTCTGGGGTTGAATTGCCTGTGTTCACAGCAGGCAAAGAAGCATTTTCAACAAAGAGACAATCTTTCTGGAAGTGTTTTTTCTTGCTTTCAGCAAGGCAGGAATAGCAGAATCAGAGACCCTTCTATATTTTAAAGTGGTTCTAAAGCCTTAAGGTTTTTCACCTTAATGCATTCTATGCATTAAGGTGAAAAACCTTCTGTGCTGCAGCTCCACCCCAGCCCCCCAGGTATTTTCCAATGTCGCAAGAAGGGATGCCTAACTTGTCAGTCCATACAACATGGACAATCAAGGTTTGAGGATAATAAAGGAAATCAATTCGCAATCAGGCAATTCATCAACTGTTCTTCGGAATATGTGATTTATATCTTACGTTGCCCATGTAAACTGTTGTATGTTGGTTGCACTAAGCGCACATTGTGCAAATTGGGGAGCATCACTGACTCATTACAGATGGCAATGACGAACATCGTGTTCCCTGCCACTTTCTCCAACATCATAATAAAGATTTTAAGAATATGGAGGTCTTGGCAATAGAATGCATCAATGATAGCTCATTAACTCAGAACGAAAAATTCTCTCTCCTTTGCAGGAGAGAAACCTTCTGGATTTTGAACTAGGTACTATGACACCTGATGGGCTAAACGAGGACCCTGAGGTACATTGTGTACTGTAATATAACATACTGTGACATAGGCTTCTATGTGTGTACCTATTTTGATCCATTTCTTTCCTTTTTCTGAATATACACATTTCCCAATATATATATATATATATATATATATATATATATATATATATTTGCATTACAGTTACTAAACATGATATAATTATTATATCAATTAGCTTTGATTATTTTTACCAGTGGTATATACTAGTGCTTTATAGATAAAAAGGTATACATTTTTAATCTGTTCTTTTTTGTTTTTTTATTGCATTTTGGTTCATCTTACTTATTAACCACTTCAATTCCGGACACTTTCACCCCCTTCCTGTCCAGGCCAATTTTCAGCTTTCAGTGCTATCACACTCTGAATGACAATTGCGCAGTCATGCAACACTGTACCCATATGAATTTTTTTGCATTTCTTTGAGACAGATAAAACTTTATTTTGGTGGTATTTATCCACCACTGGGATTTTAATTGTTTTGCTATATAAATGAAAAAGTCCACACATTTTGAAAAAAAAAAGTATTTTTCTTATAAAATTTTGCAAATAAATAATCTTTCCTCATAAATCTTCGCCAAAATGTATTCATCTATCTTTTAAAAAAAAAAAAACATTAACCCAAATTAGTTTATAACCAAAAATTATAATTTTTCAAAAAATGTTTTGACATTTTTTTTAATTTTTTTTTTATATTATTATTATTTTTTTTTCTTTTTAACATACTGTCACCCTATCAGTACAGTGTACTACTTGTGGGGGGTGATGAAGATTTTTTTTTTCTTTTACACTGATTGCTTTTACACCCATAGAGGCTGTAGAAGCAATCATTTCTCCTTCTCTCTGGCTGCATTCTTGCAGCCATTGAAAAATACTGTGTGAGCTGTGATTGGTCACAGTTTATCACATGGTACAAGGCTGTTGTGAATAGCCTTGTACCATGGGACCTCTGTGCTCATTCACAGATTTTACTAGTAATAAGCAATGATGTCAGAAATGACATCTTGCTTACTACTATTCATGTGATCACTGATTGGCCAATCAGTGATCACATGATTGGGACCTCACACAGAGGTCCCGTACAACGATCGGTGCCGCGCGCTCCCAGGGAGCACGCACAGGCAGGGAGGACATTTATAAACGGCCACCCACTCCTGCAATGCTCCCGTCCGGCTGTTTATATACATGGGCCGGACAGGAAATGGTTAACATTGTACATTTACATTTTTAATTAATCATTTGTAATATTATTTATTTTGTATGAGGACTTGAGGGACCAGCTTACATTGTCTTTTATGTTAGGCACTTGTACCTTTAAATCTCCGGCCCCACGTTCCCCTCCCTCTCTGGGTCCCGCCCCAATTTACTAGCCGATTATATATTCCTCCTCATCCCGGTTACCAACTGATTGTGATAAAGCACTGAACTGTGCGAAATGCGTTGTCATGGTAACCGGGACTCGTTGCGATTGGTCTTCTTTCTGCTGAGAGCTTTCGATGGTTGTGGTTCTTCACTCTTCCATCTACTGAGTCCACCATCCAGGCTCCCCATAGCCATGTCTGCACAACAGTAAGCTGCTCCCACCATTCCTTTCAGCTTAAGTTTTGCACCAATCCTTGTCCTGTATCTCATCATTTCATGGATACAATTTATATGGTGATTATGGTTTTATTGCTTCATTAAAAGTTTTATAGACATTGACTGATGGTCATGAACGCCATTGCATTTATTCCTGGCTCTCACCACGAGCGCTCTTATTTTCTATGCTCTTTTCATATTACTCCATACTGCTAATGGTCATTGGAGCAGCTGTGGGACTGGCCTTATCTTATCTTTGTCTTACCCGGCGTTGGTTGAGGGATTTAACGCCTAGTAGTTTGTCTATTTAGCTTCCTATGGTGGCACACTGAGAAGAAAAGGAGCAAGCAGCATTGGTGTGGGGGACCCCAAATGAGGAGGACTGGGGCCACTTTGTGCAATTCTATTGCACAGAGCAGGTAAGTATAACATGTTTGTTAATTAAAACAAATTACAATTGCTCTACAGCGTGGTCCTGGAATACAAGATCTTCTTGGTAATTTGTTAGCTAGCACTGCTAGCTGCCATTTGACATACTGAAATTGCAGCAAGAGCTAATTGATCTTTCCTTTACAGGGTTAGATAGATTAGGCTTAGAATGGGGCGGGGAGTAGGTTTAGAGTTAGTTAGGATTTTGGTGGAATTCTACTTTAAAGAACCTGAAGATAAAAGGAGGGGCGTGTCATTGAAAGTTCGGCCAGTGTCAAATCAGCTGAAGGTAGGAGACTATAACCCAGGACTTAGGAACACTTTGCCTGTGTCCTGTACTGTAGGAAGATAAAATGTATTTTTAATGTATTATTTAATTCCTAACCTTATAGAGACAAGGATACTTTGTAAAATGGATTAAAAAATAGTAAAATGGTTTTCTTTCTATGCATGCAGAGAGTTTATATTATCCATGTAGGTACTCGCAGAGCGTATGAGTGTTGTTTTTCATTTTTAAGAATATCTATAGTTTTTTAAATGTATTCTTTGGATTAATTCTTATCATTCAGTTGAACTTTTTTTAAGGATGCACATTTGCTTTTGGTAGGCTGTTTGCAGTTTTCAACCTTCACTTTCTCGACAAAAGAAACGTCTAGTTAGGTGTAACTGTACGCCAGACTATTCCTAAACTTTATACAATAACTTACATAAAATTTGAGAAGGGCTCCATCAGAGTTACAACACCATGATCTTCTGCCCAGGTATTCATGGGCTGCGTTCAGCAACATGAGAGAGGATGGGAGCATTGGAGTGCTTGAATCTCCTAGAAGAGACCTTCTTACATCAGAACATGTGATAAAGAAAATACAATGGTTCTTCTTCTATCCCAATAAACTATTCTGATGCAACTCAAAATATAGATCAAAATAACATCTGAATATGAAAATTCTATTTTTACTGTTATTATTCAAATGATGCACTCCTACACTAGCTCTGTATTTATGTCTTGGCAATGCAGTGGCTTGCACCCATGCCATACATCAGTAAAAATGAGGAAGCACTTCACAACACCGCAAGCAGGAGAAATTTATGAAACAATCCCAACATTTCAAAAGCACAGAGAATTATATCTTCACTGAGACACTGAAGGCCTTAGTGGCGCAGCTCAAGGACACTGTGCTGTATGAATGTATGAAATAAAAGTAAGGATTGTAAAAATCAATGTTTCCTTAAAGCAGAAGTTTAGCTCAAGAAAAAAATCTTCTCTATACCTTTAGTGACCTAACTTATCAGTAAATAAGCTTGTCCCAGGTTGTGCAGGCAGCTGGATCATGTAGCACGGATGTACTACCCTCCTCCTGCTGCTGAACCTCTAGTGCTACTGGGGTTAAGAGCTTTAAGCCTTCTGTGAAACTGCACTGAACAAGCTCCTTAGAGGCACCCTGTACTTCCCTGCCCCCAACGGTAAATGCTTTCATGGCATAAGCTTCCTGTAACACAATCTGTGAATGGGAGAGGGAACCTGACTAATCAGACTCTCCCTCATTCAGAAATCATGTTACAGGCAGTGTATACTTTGAAAGTACTTTTCACTGGAGGAAGAGGGGGTAGGTCCCCATCAGGAGCTCGTTCATTACAGCTCCACAGAAGACTCAGAGCTATTAACCATCAAAAAAAAAAAAGAAGTTCAGTAACTACTCAGTAACAACTGTCAGTGGACTACAAGGGTACTCATCAGCACCCTCGCAGTCCATTAAGAACTACAAGCCATCTGCCGCAGTGGCAGATGAGACTTGTGGTTTTCTCATTCACAGATTGGTGTGAATAAATGATGTGGCTGTGAGGGCAGAGCCCTAAAAAGCCGTGCCATTTTCAAATGTGGCAGCAGGAGGAGGGAGAGGAACCCCCATCCGCTGTCTCAGGGAGGAGGGGCATAGGTGGGTGCTAGGACTGGTGTTGGAGAATGTTACACAATAAACCCTAAAGCTAGGTGTAATGTGTAAAATGCTCCAAAAGGTGAACTTAGCCTTTAAATCCACATGGCAAGCAGTTTCTGTACACTTGGGTATTCTTGTTTCAGTCAGAATCAGAAATCCAGTATTCTTGTCACTTCACGTGGACTGAACAGAAAGCAACAACCCTCTATGTAATGGAGAAGGGGAAGTGTTTTCAGTCCAGATTAGGTGAGTAGCCAAGGGTGGCTCCTCAACAGATACAGTACAATAAGGATAGGAAGTGTGTTACAAGCAGCTGAAAATGAGCTTCATGAGCTGAAAATAAATAAATTGTTTGAAAAAAGCAAACTAAAATAAATAAATGAATAAAAACTAACAACAACCACATCAAACTACTGGGGGGTGTTAGATACAGTTGCAAGAAAAAGTATGTGAACCCCTTGGGATTACGTGGAGTTTTGCATGAATTGGGCATAAAATGTGCTCTGAACGTCATCTATGTCACAACAATAGAAGAACACAGTCTGCTGAACATAATACTACACAAACATTAGGTGTTGCCATGGTTTAATTGCACATAACATGTAAACATTTACAGTGCAGGGAGGAAAAAGTATGTGAACCTGCACAACAATCTGGAGTAATTTTGGACCACTCCTCTTCACAAAACTGTTTCAGTGTAGCAAGATTCTTGGGATGTCTGGTGTGAATCGCTCTCTTAAGGTCATGCCACAGCATTTCAATCGGGTTGAGGTCAGGACTCTGACTGGGCCACTCCAGAAGGCGTATTCTGTGCTGTTGCAGCCATTGTTTTGTTGAATTACTTGTATGCTTTGGGTCATTGTCCTGTTGCATCACCCATCCTCTGCGGAGCTTCAGTTGGCGGACAGATAGTCATACGTTTTCCTGCAAAATGTCTTGATAAACTCTGGAATTCATTTTCACATCAATGACAACAATCAGTCCAGGCCCTGAGGCAGCAAAGCAGCCCCAAACCATGATGCTCCCTCCGCCATGTTTTACAGTGGGGATGAGGTTTTGATGTTGGTGTGCTGTGCCTTTTTTCTCCACACATAGTGTTGTGTGTTCTTCCCAAACAACTCAATCTTGGTTTCATCTGTCCACAGTATATTTTGCCAGTAGTGCTGTGGAACATCCAGGTGCTCTTTTGCAAACTTCAAACGTGCTGCAATATTCTTTTTGGACAGCAATGGCTTCCTCCGTGGTGTCCTCCCATGTACTCCATTCTTGTTTAATGTTTTCTTTATTGTAGATGTGTCAACAAAAATGTTAGCATGTGCCAGAGATTTCTGTAGGTCTTTAGCTGACACTCTGGGATTCTTCTTTAGCTCTTTTCTGCAAAAGCATGGTTCACATCAGACAGTGCTTCTTGAAACCAGTAAACCTGTAAGGGACCGCCCGGCGACACCACTAGCACTCCACTAATCAGGCGTCCCCAGCGCACGGAGTCTAAGTCCCAGAGTACTTGTTCACCAGGGCCCCTGATGGTGGGGATGGACTAGGAGTACCCCGGGACCAGGTCGTGCCTACTGAGGATACCCGTCAGTGGTAGGGGTGTTCGCCAGGGGCTCCCACGGGAGAGAGCCTGATATGAGGTCTGGGGACCCCGTTGAGAGGGATGGCTGAGCAAGTGCAGAGTCAGGCAAGCCGGGTCGGTAACGGGGAGGACGGTACGGTACAAGGCAGTGGGCAGAGAATAGTCGGGTAACACGCCAGGTCAGCAACAGCAGGTCAGATCCAATAGGGGACATACAGAAGAGAGGTCAGGCAAAGCAAGGGTCTGGGCAGGAGAATTCAGCAGTGGTCAGGTACAATCCAGGTCAGCAACTTACAGGTACAGGTTCAGGATACAGGATGCAGGGCAAGGATAAGACCAGAAGGCACCGAATGACAGCTCAGGGCCGTTTAAATATCGTGCCCTGCGCTACCATTGGTGCCCAGCGGGCAGACCTAGAGCTCGCGTCCCTGCACAGGGCGGCATACTGCGCCTGCGCCGGGACCATCGCGCCGGGGATCGAGGAGAGATCCCTGACAAAACCCAAAACAGGTGTGTGTTTTTTAAGGGCAGGAGGGCTGTCAGGAACACATCCAATATCATCACACTGATTGGATTCAAGGTTGGCTCACTCCTGGTTCCAATTAGCTCTGGGAGAAGTCATTAAGCTAGGGCCTCACATACTTTTTCCTCCCTGCACTGTGATTGTTTACATGTTATGTGCAATTAAACCATGGCAACAGCTAATATTTGTGTAGTATTATGTTCAGCAGACTGTGTTCTTCTATTGTTGTGACTTAGATGACGTTCAGAGCACATTTTATGCCCAATTCATGCAAAACTCCACGTAATCCCAAGGGGTTCACATACTTTTTCTCGCAACTGTATGCTTTTAATTGCTAACTTCCCACCTAGCAAGAAAAATAATATGCAGAAAGACCAGCCAATTTTTATGATGACTGCATAAACAATCAGAAGGCGTATGATTACAGTGTAAGTGGATTGTTTATAGACATTTCTATGTAATAAAAAAAAATTAATTGCAACTGATAACTGAACAAAAAAATTTTCACAATTAGCTATGAATACTTCTGATGCACACGTATTTTATAAAGCAGCTGGTAACCAGTACAATGCCCAAATAGTACAATCGATGAGTAGGGGATAAATTACAGATCACCTTGCGCTAATCAACCTGAACGTAATCAACGTAAGTACCTTATCACCCCTAGAATGGCATTTCTGCACCACATGGGCTGTGTGTTCAAAGCCTTCAGCACTGCTGCTCATATAAACAGTGCTGGGCTGTGTCTGTACACTGCAGACAACTGGGTAGGATCTAACTCATGTGAGCTCATAGAATTTTAACGAGTGTAAGGCAGACCCCAACAACTTACATGTAGCCTATGAACACAGCTCATCACTATTCATAGAATAGTGTGCTATCCTTAACAAGGTACTACTGTAATTTACTTTTGAATGCATGCAAATCACTTGTAAATATCTAGCTGGGTATCAACTGCTTTATACAGTGGGGAACGAAAGTTTGGGCACCCCAGCTAAAAATTTGTATTAATGTGCATAAAGAAGCCAAGGAAAGATGGGAAAAATCTCCAAAAGGCGTCAAATTACAGATTAGACATTCTTATAATATGTCAACAAAAGTTAGATTTTATTTCCATCATTTACACTTTCAAAATAACAGAAAACAAAAAAATGGCATCTGCAAAAGTCTGGGCACCCTGCAGAGTAATATCTTGTACTGCCCCCTTTGGCAAGTATCACAGCTTGTAAACGCTTTTTGTAGCCAGCCAAGAGTCTTTCAATTCTTGTGTGAGGTATCTTTGCCCATTCTTCCTTACAAAAGTCTTACAGTTCTTTGAGATTTCTGGGCTGTCTGTCACGCACTGCTCTTTTAAGGTCTATCCATAGATTTTCAATCATGTTGAGGTCAGGAGATTGTGAAGGCCATGGCAAAACCTTCAGTTTACGCCTCTTGATGTAATCCCCCGTGGATTTCGAGGTGTGTTTAGGATCATTATCCATTTGTAGAAGCCATCCTCTCTTTCACTTCAGCTTTTTCACAGATGACATCAAGTTACCATCCAAAATTTGCTGAAATTTTATTGAATCCATTTTTCCTTCTACTCGTGAGATGTTCCCTGTGCCACTGGCTGCAACACAACCCCAAAGCATGATTGATCCAACCCCATGCTTAACAGTTGGACAGAGGTTCTTTTCATTAAATTCTGTGCCCCTTCTTCTCCAAACGTACCTTTGCTCATTCCGGCCAAAAAGTTCAATTTTAACCTCATCGGTCCACAGAATTTGTTTCCAAAATGCATCAGGCTTGTCTATATGTTCATTTGCAAAGTTCAAACGATGATTTTTGTGGTGAGGACGTAGAAGAGGTTTTCTTCTGATGACTCTTCCATGAAGACCATATTTGTACAAGTATCTCTTTATAGTGGAATAGTGTACCACAACTCCAGTGTCTGCCAGATCTTTCTGGAGGGATCGTGCAGTCAAACGTGGGTTTTGAATTGTTTTTCTCACAATCCTGCGAGCTGTTCTGTCTGATATTTTTCTTGGTCTTCCAGATCTTGCTTTAACTTCCACTGTTCCTGATGACTGCCATTTCTTAATTACATTCCGAACAGAGGATACTGACATCTGAAAACGCTTTTCTATCTTCTTATAGCCTTCTCCAGCTTTGTGAGCGTCAAATATTTTCAGTTTCAGTTTTCTAGACAACTGCTTAGAAGAACCCATGGTGCTGATTGTTGGGGCAAGGTCAGATGAGTCTGGGCATTTAAAACCTTTGATATTGACATCACCTGGTCTTCCCAGATGATGATTGAGAACAATCCATGACACTGGCAGGTTTCAGCTTGGCAAAGGGGGCAGTGCATGCTATAAATTCTGCAGGGTGCCCAAACTTTTGCAGACGCCATTTTTTTGTTTTCTGTTATTTTGAAAGTGAAAATGATGGAAATAAAATCTAACTTTTGTTGACATATTATAAGAATGTCTAATCTGTAATTTATGCCTTTTGGAGATTTTTCCATCTTTCCTTGGCTTCTTTATGCACATTAATACAAATTTTTAGCTGGGGTGCCCAAACTTTCGATCCCCACTGTAGTCTACTGATGTGCTTACATTTTCTGTACTTTGCCATCCTGGTTCTTTATATGGAGGACACAATTTACCACAGTTGTGGAGAGTAAACAAACAGCGCTGGACCCAAATGGTTATCTTAAAGTATTTCTGTTGATGTAAATAATCTGGTTCCCGGGCAAGTGGCTTCTACACCCCAGAGGATCACCACGGTCTCCTTGGCTTGTAGTAGTATAATATAACAAAAACGGAAACTGAAGGGACAATCCAGTCAGCAGTTAAACCAGCCTTCTAGTTTATTTACATTGTGTTCCCTCATGCCCTGAAGTAGGGGGTGCTTTTGGACCTCCAAAACGTGTTGGCTACTCTTTGGCTTATCCCCTGACTTTTATTGGAATAAAGTTTTATCTGGCCCTCTTAGCAGTAGTGTGATGCTTCAATTTTCAATGCTATTACAATTTAACACAGGACTTTTAAAATTACCTTCCTTATCACCTCTTCGTCCATGCTGCTGACACATAGAGCGGAAGTTCTCCTCTTCATACTGGATAATTCGATGGAGGATAATCCAAGGCAGGACAGAGGACACAGATGGCTCCTTAGTATCCTCCTGCACAGCCATACTGCAGTCTATTAGCTGAAGAAAGGAACATAAAAAATGTCACTGCAACTCGCTGAAATATTCAGATGTTCAAAAAACTACAAATACAAGACAGAATTTCAGTAAGCAGCTACATACACAGAGTCAAAATACATATATGTAAACAGTATTACCTGCCAAAGAATATGTTAAAGTGGAGCTCCACCCAAAAGGGGAAGTTCCGCTATAAAGCTTCATTCCCTGCTCCCTGTTAAGGATTGGCACCTTTGGAGAGCAGAGGGAGGGGGTACCCAAATTTGAAAGGTACCCGCTCCCACTTCCACTGCGATCGCCTAAGCGATTGGAAGTAGAAGTTGTGCTCCCTCCTCACCGTAGTCTTCTGGGATACGTGACAGGTCTCAGAAGTCTACGGGACCATTCACAAAGCGCAGGGCTATCACACATACACAGTGGGCACCCGGCTGTGAAGCCGCAAGTTGTCAAAGCTGGGTGCCCACACTGAAAATGCCGGCACCGGGGACACAGGACGGCTGGTGAACCCGGCAGGTGTGAGGACACTGCGGGATCAAGGGCCAGGTGAGTGTTATTTAAAAGTCAGCAGCTACAGTTTTTGTAGCTGCTGATTAATTTTTTTTAATTTTGACTGGACCTCTCGCTTTAAATTAGTTTAGCAATTCTTTTGATTTACAAGCAAAATAATGTTTTACCACATTGCATAGTCAAAAAAGTGTTTATTTTCCTCCTCAAATTTACAGCTTTCTGCTTGATTATTCAACATATGGACTGGAGACAGAACTGAAAGCTTCAAAGGTAAACAAGGAAATAGGTTTCATAGAGAACAGATTTCTGAGAGATCACAGGCTGGCTATACCAAATCCTTTGGCAGGTAAAAACAGTTCACATGTATGTATTTTTTCCTATACTTTTTATTGATATTTTACAGTTTAACCACACAACTACAACCAATCACAGCAAAGGCAATAACAAAAACATTTTCCATCGGGTATGCCCGCTGCATCACTTATGGTTCCGGTATAGACGGCACTTCCGGTCGCCATGTAATCACGCCCTAATGTGTTTTGTCACTTCTGACTTAGTCACAGGGGTGATGCAAGGGAGAACACCTACGACAAAATCGGAAGTGATGAAAAGCTCTGGGGCGTGGTTACGCGGCGACCGGAAGTGACACAGTGGATGTACCCAATAGTTCCGAAGGTGGTGAAACTCCCGAGTTTACCATGCACACCCTGCTTTGATGCCATTTTTTAACAGGATATGAGCTTGATATAAATTTTAGTTGGTAAGTGGCTTGTTAACAATAAATTGTGGTTAATTTTGTTTACTATACCATTGGAGGGTATTCTTTTCTTTTCCATATCATTTATGAGTACTAATGAGCTGGATGGAGGAGTAATCTGATGTTATGATGACTGGAAGCTGAGGTGTAACTGATAAAGCGAGATATACGAGAAATGAGAGTGGTTGGCATATATATCTGGTGAGTTCTTTCATGAAGGGGAGAGGGACTTCATGAGCACAGATTGTGTATAAAAATTTAGGAAAAAAATACAGCACTTGAATTTTTACACTTTTTTGGACGTTTACGGACAATTGTTAAGTTTTGCACTATTTTCCTAATTCTTTGGGAGTCTGCACCAATTTTGGTCAATTGGAAATCTATTTAATCAGAGCGTTACTGGTGGAGTTAAGGAGCACTTATAATTTGACCACTTTTACATCATATGGTGGTAAAATTTTGATTCGATATTAAGGTAGCAGCAGTGAGTATTTACATTCATGGTTGTTTCTGTTTCATGGACACTAATTAGCTCTGATCATTATTTAACCATGTAGCACAGTGTTTTCTGAGTAAAAAAATATAATACAAGCAGGAGAGGGGAGGACAATCAATGGAATTTCCAGTAGTAAGTGAAGTTCCGCTTTATAATATCTGGAATCAAACAGATTTTTAAGAAGTTTTTGCCAGGAGTTCTTCTATCCCTCCTGTAGGATTTTCAAACTATTGTACAATGTTTCTATGGCTGACAATCGATTAAAGATAACAAATTCTAAAAGATTCAAGTTGTTTAACTGGTGAAATGTAAAGGCACAGCTTCAGGTCCAAAAGATGCAGGCAGTGTACAGACAGAGGAGCACCCTTTATTAAATTGATTGGCACACACTACATCATGACCTCCCAACAATACCCATATGTGGTAATAGCTGGATGCCATCAGAGGGCATACCAATGCACCCTAACAGATTATCAAATTCATTTTTTAGCCACCACTCTTATAACCCAGAATAGCTACTGAAAATGGTCATGCCATGGCGGAATCAAATCATTAGCTGACAGTCAGTTCTAAAACATCTAAGTAGCACTTGGTATGCAGATAAAGGTTTGCCCTTACTGCACCATGTCAAAATTCCAATACCAAAGTTCATGCAAAGTCCCAAAATAAATTAACCAAATGAATAGCAGTGACCCAATTGTGCAGAGAAACTAATGGTGTGAGTCTCACACTCCAAAGCAATCACTTCAGGTGCTCCACCACTCCCACTGTGAGTCTCACTCACCAAATAATTGTGCCTCACATGTAAATGATCAGCATAAGGCACATTAATTTACACCACTTCCTCTGAAGGCGCTTCATTAGCTCTCGCATATACAATATTCCATCCGGTGGTCCTTCAAATATTAGGCAAAAAGAACTACCATAGTGTATTACCGAAAAAAACATTAAAATGTATTCAATTTCCAATACACTATTCACAAGCAAAGTCACAGGCATATCACATATTAAAATGCAATAGCAGTGGAAGTAGACTAGCAATGATGTCCCCTGTTCGTGTGTCAGTACTCCGGTGTCTCACCCGACTCCTATGTGTGTATAAGCTGTGGTGTCACGTCCGGAATGGTGTGTGACGTCACTTCCAGACACCGTATGGCTGCGCACTGACACAGAGTTTTGTTTACGGACTTTTTCAAATGGTCATTTCAAAAAGTCAGTAGATGAAACGCTGCGTCAGAGCTCATAGACACGCATAGGAGTCGGGTGAGACGCCGAAGTACTGGCATGCTTCAGATAACTGCAAAATGAGCAATCAGTGTGGCCAGGCAGTGGGAAAAGCAAACAGAATTCTAGGATGCATCACTAAAGCGGTGTATCCAACACGATGCATCACTAGAGCAGGAGTAAGGAGGTCCTGATTCTCCTATATAGATCTTTAATTAGACCTCATTTAGAGTATTGCATCCAGTTCTGGAAACCTCACTTACAAAAAGTTATTGAGAAGATTGAAAGAGACCAGAGAAGGGTAATAATAATGGTCTGAGGGATAAAACATATCACAGGGAAATTTCAGGAACATATTATGCATAAGAAGAAAGAAGGGAAATAGGAAACATAACAAAACACCTTTAAATACATCAATGGAGTGAATAAGGTTCAAGAGGGCAGGACTGTCAATATGAAACCAAGATCAAGAACATGGGGACATAAACTCAACCTAACAGGAGGAAAGTTCAAAACTAATCTTAGAAAGTATTATTTTACTGAAAGTGTAGTTGAGACTTGGAATAGACTTCCAGCAGAGGTAGTGACTCAGTCAACAGGAAGTGGCTTTAGCATGCTTGAGACAAACAAATATATACTCAGGCAAAAAAGTTAACAAAAAACAAAAATCCCCAAAAAATACAAAAACATGTATATAAATGAAAAAAAAAAAAAAAAGGGGGGCAGACTCGATGGACCACTAGGTCTTTTTTCTGCTGTCACTTTTCTTTTTCCTCTCACTTCCTGTTTTGGCTATGGGACAGGATGTGAAAGTAAATCTCTTCAATGGAACACAGATGGCATAAAAAAAACCTGGCAGAGGTAATAACCCTCCCATTCTCTATCCAAAATTATTAGAAAAGAAAAAGTTTTGCTACAGTTATACTTTAAGGCCAAGATCTGCTCATGTCTTGATTTTAGCAAGGACAGAATGAGAGGCACAGAATAGTCTCTGGAATTGAAGTGCCTGTGTTCACACCAGGCAAAGAAGGATTTCCAGGAATGATATTAAATCTTTCTGGAAGTGGATTTTCCTTCTTGGAAATAAAGATTAGGAAACCCTCTGTCCCTTAAGACCTAGGCTTCCACAGCCATGTTATTAAAGCTAGTGACTGAGAAGCAGCATGGAATAGAGGACCCCGAGACAGCAGGTCTGGCCTATTGCGGAAAGACCCAGAGTAGTCTCCTAGTAGTCCGAGTACTGGTATGTTTGTATACTAGATTCTTCTGAGCAGTTTAGTGCAATGAGAATCATCATCTTGCTCTATATTTAGAGCTGCATATATGTCCCCCCACAAGCTCTAATAAGGGTGAGAACTCAGCGATCTCAAGACCGTTAATCACTGAGTTCCCACTGCCGCTGTGAGCAGAGAGCAGTGACTGTCAGTCAATGCAGTCTGCTCTGCCCCCTCCCCCCCCCCCCCCCCCCTGTGCTCACTGGAGCACTGGGCTGCGGAGGGGGAAGGACTGAAGGAGTGGAGGCTCGGGCTCTCAGCGCATCGATGATAGGCTGAGCCAGGTGCTGTTCCAGACTCTGGGGAGGATCCTGACTTTAAAGTAGGGATCTTTCCCTAGCCTGGACCAGCTGAGTGACATCAGCTGATAGCGGGCTTCAGCCCAGATCCCAGCTTACAGGGTTGGGGCAGTTTTATGTCCTTTTGCCACAGAATCCCTGGGGACTCTTCATGGTACCCTGGTTTAGAAACACTGATCTAGATAACCTGGGTGCTCAAAGAGCAAGAAGAGGTGTTAGGACATTTGTGAATACTCCAGGAGCAAAAGATAGGCTAAAAGGCAGTGTGAGAAATTGGAAGAGATGATATCCTACTATAAAGTGTAGAAAGCGCTGATGAGGTGCATAAATGGGAATATGCAGAAAGATGCAGGCACATTGGATGTCAGTTAATGCCAAGTATCCCTCTTGTCTCATTCTATGTAACACTTTGGAATTTGACAGTATTGAGGTATGGCCAGAATAGGATAAATACCCTTGTTGGACTTTAGTATTGTGAACAGGTTTGAATAGAATCCTTTAAATCTGTCTTGTGGGGGTACTGGCACAACCGCACCCATGGACAAGAGGTGGTTCTGCTCATTCTGAAAATCTGACTGTCCTTGGTCCGATTTGGTTGATATGAGAGAAGAAAGCAATGATAGTAAAGTTTTTAAACCACCGTTTGAACTCATGTCCCTGGGGCGTCTGTGATCCAGAGAGTAGCAAGCTGTAGGCATGATGACACCCCTTCATTGGGAAAACTTGGAAGGCTTTGTGGGCCAAATCTTTTGTGAAAGGAAGGGCGAAACTTAGTTTTTTAAGTTGAAGCCGGGGTAGAGTGATGATGAGCTGCACTCTAAAGAGGTAGAGACTCTAGAAAGAGGGATTTGGAATCTTCCACTGTGGAAAATGAACTTTCCCTCCTGTGACATCTTTTGTGAATTTGTCAAGTGACTCACCAAAAAGATGTCCTCCTTCAATGGGAATACTTTTAAAGGTGTCAGGAAGTTTCAGCTGACCAGGCCTTGAGACAAGAGATTCTACACATATGAATGGAGATTGGTGCAATTCTGGAAATTTGTGTCATTACCCTTTTCTAGAGCAATGCTCTCCGAACTGCGGCCCAGGGGCCAGATGTGGCACTTTGTTTACCTTTATCTGGCCCTTGTAGCACTATTCCACAAACGATGGGGCACCATTCCTCCCACTGACAATATCAGTTCTCCCCACTGATACCAACAATGGGGCCTTACTCCACCCTTTAAAACCAAATGATGGGCACTGTTTATGCTCACTAATGCCAGGGCATTTTCAACTCCCACTGGCCACAGTACTGGCCCCTTAAGCCTGAAGAACAGTAAACTGGCCCTTTGCTTAGAAGGTTTGGAGACCCCTGTCTAGGGCATCCACACAAAAGAGCAGAGCAGGATATATTTGCTGTAACTGCTCAGTTAAAGTGGAGCACAAATTTACAACAGAACCAAAAAAAACAAGTTTTTTCAAAATGCTTGGTATTATTTAATTTATATAGTAAAAACGGTGGTGAATAAATACCACCAAAAGAAAGCTCTGTCGAAAAAAAAATTTCATTTGCGTACAGTGTGAGTAATTGTCATTCAAAGTGTGAAAGCACAGAAAGCTGAAAATTGGCCTGGACAGGAAGTGGGTGAAAGTGTCCAATATTGAGGTGGTTAAGAGTGATTTCTCTGTATGGGAGATGAGGACTATTACCTTGGGAAGCTAGCAAAATAACATGGATGTACATGGAGTGGCGTAGAGTTAAAGTAGGGCGCCCAGGGGGCGTGTTCTCAAAAGTTTTGCCAAAGTCCAATGACCTGAAGTTATGAGCCTATAACTAGGTTCTATGAAAGATGTATACTCACCTTTCTGATGGGCAGTCTTTGATCTTCTTAACAGCTCTGTGTTTTACAGCCAACTGCCTTTTCTAGGTGTGTCAGGTAACATGTTTTCCACTGGCTGCTGTGATTCCTAAATATGGTTGCTGTATTGTCTCCTGTTATATTGTAAAGTGCTGAGCAAACTGTTGGCGCTATATAAATCCTGTATAATAATAATAATATGTAACTACAGAACACAGTAGTGATGTAGTGACTGGAGGGATCACAATAACCAGCAGGGGATACACTATCTGACAAACCTAGAGACTAAATATATTCTTCAAAAGAGCAAAATTTACCACGCTGCAACTGGAAAGGTAAGTATAAACTTTTCTTTTATGGGCTGGCTTTGTTGAATATCTTTTACTATAGTTACAGGGCTGCTTTATATCAGATTTTGTTGCTTAAGTATACAGTCCTTGTTTAGCAGATATATTTTTAGTATGACAAATGAGATCTATGTGTTAGCACAACAAAAGGAGTTTCCTTTCAAGTTTGAGCTCTCTGAAACAGAGCTACCTGGTAAGGGGAAAGTCGATCCTCTGATTCACTTGTTTGTGCACATTTCATGATGAACAATTTATCTCTGTAAACATGCTTTTTATAACATGGGATAAAAGCAATATGTAAAAAGGATCCAAAGAACTCCACGTTCCCAGATGAATAAAAGACTAGATAAAATTCATATTTGATGTTTGCTATTTTTAACATTTTCCTTTTTTTTTTTAAATACTGACCACACTAAATGAAGATAGATAATATGTACAAAGCCACTAACCCTTTTCCATTAGTTATGCAGATTTGCCACTGAATAAAAGATGTTGCTCTTTTTTATATTGACAATGGATATTTAAGTCCATGCTTCTGCATTGAAATAATTACAGCTGGTCTATGTGCATCTCTGCTTTCTTACCTGTATGAGGTTGTTGCTGAGACGCACAAGACGTGGTGTCAGTGTGGGCTCCTGCAAAATACTGCTGCCAGATGATAAAGCCAGATCGATCCCCGAGAGTAACTGTGTTGCTGTGGCAACCCATTCCTCCTTAGCTGAGCCAGATGTCAGGCTCATCATGTGTTGGATGGCTTCATTCAGTGCAACCTCTGAACACTCAAAGCATTGTTTGAAATTTGAGAGTTTCAGTAAGGAATCCTAAGAGGAAGACACAAGGGTGTTAAGTCAAAACAAATGTCAGTATTTGAATAATTTCCTCTAAAGTAACTGTTTACATATAGGTGGATATGAAGTGTTATGCAGTCAATTAACTGCTTTCTCACTGCCCTATAGCAGATATACTGCTACAGGGCGGCAGGGGTGCGCAAAATCACATATATATACACGTGATTTTGCATTTCCGGGTAGGGGGCGCGTGCGAGTGCCCTACCCGTGCCACAATTCACAGCCTCGGCTGTCAATCACCAGATCCTAGCTGGTGATTACTCACAGAGGGAGATAACTGTAAGTAAACAATTCAGTTATCTCCCCTGTCAGTTCCTGCACACTGCTTTGCATAGCAGAGCTATGCAAAACAGTGTACTTACAGTACTGTAAAGCACACACAGCTTACAGTAAAACAGCTACACAGCTTACAGTAAAACAGCACACAGTTAACCCTTTGGTTGCCCCACATGTTAACCCCTTCCTGCCTAGTGCCCTTGCTAGTGTCAGTGATTTTTATTAGTACTGATCACTGTATTGGTGTCACTGGGGATGTCAGTGATACCAAGTCAGTTCCCCCCAGTGTCAGAATGCCTGCCGCAGTCCCGCTATAAGTTGCCGATCACCGCCATTACTAGTAGAAAAAAATCCCAGTATATATACCACCATTTGTAAACTCTCTCACATAAATCAATTAATTTACACGTACTGGGATTTTTGTAGCAAAGACATGTAGCAGAGTACATTTTGGCCTAAATTTATGAGGAAATTATATTTTAAATTTTTTTACTGGACATGTAGCAAGAAGTCAAAAATATTGTTTTTTTTTTTTTTTTTTTCAAAATTGTCGGTCTTTTTTTTTTTTTTTAAAGCGCAAAAAATTAAAAACCGCACAGGTCATGAAATACCACCGAAAGAAAGCTCAATTAGTGGGGTAAAAAAAAGACGTAAATTTAATTAGGGTGCAGCGTTGCATGACCACGCAATTGTCAGTTAAAATAACGCAGTGCCGTAACGCAAAAAATGGCCTGGTCAGGAAGGGGGGTAAAAATCATCAGGAGGGCAAGTGGTTAAAGTGATTGTAAACATAGGATTTTTTTTTTAAACCATCAATTTGTCATACTTACTTGCTCTGTGTAATGGTTTTGCACAGAGCAACCCTGATTTCCCTCTTTTGGGGTCCTCCGATGGAGCTTCTGGCTCCTCCTGCCTTCAGAGTGCCTCTATAGCAAGCCGCAAAGTATAGTATAAAGTGCCCCAATAGCAACGTAAAAAAAACTGCTTTTCGAATCACTTTAACTCACTTCCTTCTCTTGCCCAAGACTACATGTCCCATAAAGCATTGCTGATCACACATTCACAAGATCTCAGGCACTGTGTGTACTGACATGTATGGACAGGTGTATTGAGCTGTATGTGTGCTGCATTGTATTTTCTGATATGTAAACAAATAATGCATTCTGTATGCAGGCCAACTAATCAGCTGACCACCGAATAGATTATGAAAATAGTTGACAACTATTTCCATAATTGATTATGTTGATTAGTTGTTTTCAGCCCTAGTCTCTGATAGGAAGTGCTGCTTTTATAGTCACTGTATTGGTGTCACTGGGGATGTCAGTGACACCAAGTCAGTTCCCCCCAGCGTCAGAAGTCCCGCAGTTCCGCTATAAGTCGCTGATCACCATTACTAATAAAAAAAACAGTATATATACTGCCATTTGTAAATGCTATAACTTTCACGTAAACCAATTAATTTACACGTATTTGGGAATATTTTAGCAAAGATATGTAGCAGAATACATTTTGGCCTAAATTTATGAATTTATGATGTCATTAAGATTTAAAAAAATTTTTTTACAGGACATATTTAATAGCAAGTCAAAAATATTGTTTTTTTTCCCTCAAAATTGTCAGGTTTTTTTTTTTTTTTATAGCGCAAAAATAAACGCACAGGCGATTATATACCACCAAAAGAAAGCTCTATTTGTGGGAAAAAAACTGCTCAGTTACCCTATCCACACACTCGATGTGGATGGGGGAATCCTCCCTGCTGAGCCTTTTTATTCCAAGAGTGAGGAGACCCTTTTGGTTGTATTGCTTGTTAAAGGGGATCACTGGATCTTCTACAGTGTGCAGAGGCCACTTAAGAGGCAATAAATTCCCTTTTAACTGCTTAAGGACTGCCCTATAGCGGATATACTACTACAGCGCGACCCCTGTGCACAAAATCACGTATATAAACGTAATTTTGCATTTCCGGGTAGGTGCGGCTGCGGGTGTCAATGATTACCAGCGATCACCGACAGAATGGAGGGCTGCTTTGTTTATCAACAGTCCTCCTCCCTGTCAGTTTGGGCACACTGCTCTGGATGGCTGAGCACAGGAATCCAGAACAGTGTGCTTACAGTGAAGAACACACCCCCTGCCCTCTAGTAAAATACTCCCATCACACAGTTAACCCTTTGATTTCCCCTCCTGTTAACCTATTCCTGCCCAGTGCCATTAGTACAGTGTCAATGCTTTTTTTTTTTAACACTGATCACTGTATTGGTGTCACTGGGGATGTCAGTGACACCAAGTCAGTCCCCCCCCAGTGTCAGAATGCCCGCTGCAGTCCCGCTATAAGTCGCTGATCGCCGTCATAAATAGCTGATCGCCACCATACATAGCTGATCGCCACCATTATTAGTATATAAATAACAAAAATTCCAGTATCTATACCACCGTTTGTAAATGCTATAACTTTCACATACACCAATAAATTTACACGTATTTGGATTTTTTTTTTTAGCAAAGGCATGGAACAGAATACATTTTGATTTTTAAAATTTTTTTACTGGACATAATAATAATAGCAAAAAGTCCTAAATATTGTTTTCTCAAAAGTGTCGATCTTTTTTTTTTTTCAGCACAACAAATAAAAAGGCACAGGCGATCAAATATCACCGAAAGAAAGCTCAATTTGTGGGAAAAAAAAAAACCACGTACATTTCATTTGGGTGCTGCATTGCATGACCATTCAATTGTCAGTTAAAGTAATGCAGTGCCGTAACGCAAAGCACTTTCTGACCGCCATATACAGTCAGGTCCATAAATATTGGGACATCGACACAATTCTAACATTTTTGGCTCTATACACCACCACAATGGATTTGAAATGAAACGAACAAGATGTGCTTTAACTGCAGATTGTCAGCTTTAATTTGAGGGTATTTACATCCAAATCAGGTGAACAGTGTAGGAATTACAACAGTTTGCATATGTGCCTCCCACTTATTAAGGGACCAAAAGTAATGGGACAATTGGCTTCTCAGCTGTTCCATGGCCAGGTGTGTGTTATTCCCTCATTATCCCAATTACAATGAGCAGATAAAAGGTCCAGAGTTCATTTCAAGTGTGCTATTTGCATTTGGAATCTGTTGCTGTCAACTCTTAAGATGAGATCCAAAGAGCTGTCACTATCAGTGAAGCAAGCCATCATTAGGCTGAAAAAAACAAAACAAACCCATCAGAAAGATAGCAAAAACATTAGGCGTGGCCAAAAACAACTGTTTGGAACATTCTTAAAAAGAAGGAACGCACCGGTGAGCTCAGCAACACCAAAAGACCCGGAAGACCACGGAAAACAACTGTGGTGGATGACTGAAGAATTCTTTTCCTGGTGAGGAAAACACCCTTCACAATAGTTGGCCAGATCAAGAACACTCTCCAGGAGGTAGGTGTATGTGTGTCAAAGTCAACAATCAAGAGAAGACTTCACCAGAGTGAATACAGAGGGTTCACCACAAGATGTAAACCATTGGTGAGCCTCAAAAACAGGAAGGCCAGATTAGAGTTTACCAAATGACATCTAAAAAAGCCTTCACAGTTCTGGAACAACATCCTATGGACAGATGAGACCGAGATCAACTTGTACCAGACTGATGGGAAGAGAAGAGTATGGAGAAGGAAAGGAACTGCTCATGATCCTAAGCATACCACCTATCAGTGAAGCACGGTGGTGGTAGTGTCATGGCGTGGGCATGTATGGCTGCCAATGGAACTGGTTCTCTTGTATTTATTGATGATGTGACTGCTGACAAAAGCAGCAGGATGAATTCTGAAGTGTTTCGGGCAATATTATCTGCTCATATTCAGCCAAATGCTTCAGAACTCATTGGACGCCGCTTCACAGTGCAGATGGAGAATGACCCAAAGCATACTGCAAAAGCAACCAAAGAGTTTTTTAAGGGAAAGAAGTGGAATGTTATGCAATGCCCAAGTCAATCACCTGACCTGAATCCGATTGAGCATGCATTTCACTTGCTGAAGACAAAACTGAAGGGAAAATGTCCCAATAACAAGCAGGAACTGAAGACAGTTGCAGTAGAGGCCTCGCAGAGCATCACCAGGGATGAAACCCAGCGTCTGGTGATGTCTATGCGTTCCAGACTTCAGGTTGTAATTGATTGCAAAGGATTTGCAACCAAGTATTAAAAAGTGAAAGTTTAATTTATGATTATTATTCTGTCCCATTACTTTTGGTCCCTTAACAAGTGGGAGGCACATATGCAAACTGTTGTAATTCCTACACCGTTCACCTGATTTGGATGTAAATACCCTCAAATTATAGCTGACAGTCTGCAGTTAAAGCACAACTTGTTCGTTTCATTTCAAATCCATTGTGGTGGTGTATAGAGGCAAAAATGTTAGAATTGTTTCGATGTCCCAATATTTATGGACCTGGCTGTAGCAGAAATCAGATCAGCACTATACCAGCGTTCACATTAGTATAGTGTCCCCAAAAACACAGTGTTAGCGCGATCAGCCCTGGCACCTTCCAGCACCTGCGTTTAGCCTCTACGCTTACCCCCCCTCTCCCTCAGCAAGTGCAGTGTCAGTAGGTCACTATTACTTGATACATTCCACCCACACACTGCAGTGTTTGCAGGATCAGGCCTGATCTCTGTTAGCACTTGCCAGTAAATTTTGATGACTCTCATATGCAGAGT